AGGATTTTTATCAACGGAACAGTGCTGACTCACTCCAAAAATTGGTAATGTTGCTTTACTGATAGGGAAATTCAGTTTGAAATCATGACAGGTTCACCATGTTAGTGTGTTTTAAGCTGTGCTGGTTTAAAGGCAAACTGGCAGGAGAAGTTAACCCAACTCAAAAGAGATTATAAATCAGGATTACAATTTAATAAAAATAATACAATAAATACAATTATACAGATGAACAATTGGTTTTAACCCACAAGAAGACAAATGTATAAACCGGCACCCTGGAGAACGAACAGAATGGTGTTCGCTGGCCCCCGTGCTGAGCCCCACATGGGCCCCCTGAGTTCAAAAATAAAATGAGAGGAAGAACCTGTTGGTGCAAGTGATGGTCACAGTCCGCTTGAGAGTGGTGGTCCTCCTCTGGATCCCACGAGTGGTCCCAGAAGTCCCAAGACCCCAAGATTGTATACACCCAGGTTCAGGCAGGAATGCCCAGCACCTCTCCCAGGGCTGGGAGTTCCACAATGAATGATTGTGAGTTGGGGCTGTGAGGACAGAAACATCCTCTTATCTCACAGGCCTCTTAACACCCAGCTTATAGCCTGAGGGGTCAGGTGTGCTCTGAGCAGCTGCTGCAAATGGTCTGTTGTTAACAATTTCTGGGAAATGACACAGAGGATATAGAATACACAGTTTGGGTTACACCCACACAGTGATGAACTGGTCCTGGCTGCTCTAACTAGGACATAAACCACGTCAGAATAACAGACTTAGAGTGATAACCCAAAGAAGTCAATGTATCACGAAGGACTGGGGATACAAAGAGTGGCAATGACTACTTGGATGGACAACTGTAATGGGATAGACCACAACTGACTTGGTATCTGTCTAAAACTCAAACAGTCTTAAAGAAAATTAACCATAAACTCACAGTATTTACTTGACTATTGCATCAGAATATTAGGATGTAACTGCTAATAATAAATGTCTAGTGAAAATTATATGAAAGATGTTTTTATGCCTTGTGTCACTTCTCTGTTAGTGGGAACATCTCTCACACCTTAGTGCCTATGTTTTCAGACTAATCACAGTCACAGAATGGGTCAGGTTGGAAGGGACTATGGTGGGTCAACTGGTCCATCCTTTGACACCCTCCCTTCAGATATTGATAGACATTGATGAGGTCCCCTCTCAGTCGTCTCTTCTTGAGGCTGAACAGGCCCAGCTCTCCCAGCCTTTCCTTATAAGAGAGATGCTCTAGTCCCTTAATCATCTTTGTTGCCCTCTGCAATACCTGCTTCAGGAGCTCTGTCTCTCTTAAACTGAGAAGCCCAGAACTGGACACAGCACTCAAGATGTGGCCTCACTAGGGCTGAGCAGAGATGCAGGATCACCACCCTCAGCCTGCTGGCACCCCAGGATACCACTGGCCTTCTTGTCCATAAGGACACACATCTAGCTTATGGTCAACTTGCTTTAGAAATTACTGTGTCATTGTAAAGAAGCTTACTGGAAGGGTAGCATTGTGGTTTATGCCTTAGGAGTGGAATTCTATTGATCTACTTCCCAGAACTCACTGTCTACAGATATCAGTGAGTTTCATTATACTGGTGTCTGGCATAGTCCTGGACTTTGGACAAAAATTAGAGGTTTACTTTGTTTTGTAATAGAGTGTCATCTGGGGCATATAAAAGTGGAGACCTGATTTTGTTACTGATTTGTAGTGCTGATGGCCACTTTGTGGTTTAGAGTGTTTTGGATTATTTTCCTAACCTCTGCCCTTTTGAATGCTCTCCTGCATTAGAAATATTGGGCAGATGCCATATAACATTGCCCTAAGTTCTGTATATTCCCTACAATGGCAAGTCTGCAAGTTTGGGTTTTTTTTCCTTTTTTAAGACTTCTAGTATGTATTCATATGTCACAGGAACATGTTTAGAAAAATTTATATAATATAGTTTGGGACAGAACACAGTGTCCTGATGCTTACTGAAAAATTTGTATCAGCTTTACAAATAGGTGGAAAGGGGATTATTTCTGGCATAAATTGAAAAAAATCTGCTTAGTCTAAAAGAGGCAGAATCCATCTATGAGCAGAAATTGGCTGACCTATGCATCTCCTCAATAACTTTCTCAGTCACTGTTCACACATTATTGAAACACATGCACTGCGTTGTTTCTCTCTCTTTAGATAATTTTTGCCATTACATTTTGAGCCAATCTTCTCACATAAATTTTATAATCAGGAACCTCTATGAATTTAATTTCTTTTTACCTTATTTACATCTCTGTAAATACTTTCAGGTTCCCAGGAACACAAACATAAAAGTTATTTGTGTTTCTTTTTCACTTAATTGGGATATTCAGTTCCGTACAATGTAACTGAGCTGAGCTGAACTCGAGACAAAGCTAGATATTACATGAGCCAATTTGCAAGACTGCAAAGCCACAGGAAAGACATATGCTAAGTTCCCTTGAGCCAAGACCATTACTTCCAAGACCAACTTTCCTATTGTTCATGATATTACATGTAAAACTCTTCAGAACGTTTCTCCATGAGAATGTCTGTCTATCCCAGCCAAAACTAGCACATGGTGGTATAGTGTACATCCCCTGTACAGGCATTACCTTATGCGTACAGGTGCCTTTGCAATAACATTTTACAATAACCTGGATGTCAGCAGCTTGTCAATCTTTACAAATGTAGGAATCAACTCTGTGGATTCACCTTGATTTTCTAACACTTTATTGTCAGTATTTTAATAAATATAATGACCTCAGGATATACTCTAGCTTTTCCTTGCTGAAATTGGCAGTTCCTGCTGTAATTGTACTGCAGTCATCAAGTAAATCAAGGCCAAACTGATTCCTAAGAAACTAGGAATTTAAGAGCTACTTACAATAAATAACAATAAATAGAATAAATAACCAATTGTATTTGCAGACCTCTTGTTCAATTCAGTTGATGCTGTGAAGCCAATCACATTAACTTCCTTGAAAACAGTCTTCTTTGTAGATGACTTTTCAATTCACTGTTACCAAGCCTGTGAAAACAGTCTGAGGCTTAAAAAAACAGCCAAGAATTGTGCTAATTGACATGACACTGAGAAGAACCCTGTGGTCAGAATAAGCTGTAAGCAGAATTGTCAGTATAAATATCCTGTAATAACCTCCCCCTTTCCCCATCCATATGAGACAGATAACAGAGACCTTTCTCTACAAGGTTCAGGACCGGAACCCCACCAGAATAAATCAAGTTCTGATTAAATCTTCTGACTCTGATTAGGGGGAAGGCAGCAAACATGGCTGCTGATATTCTAGCTTGAATAGTTAGAAAAAAATCTCCAGAAAAGCATCACTTTTTAACCATCGCTTGACAGAATGATAGTGTCTTACCATATTATACTGTACATCAAACTACAGTGATGAATTCTGTATCCTGCCTTGGAAGAGTCTTGCTGAATCATAGAATCATAGAATCATAGAATCATAGAATGGTTTGGCTTGGAGGTGACCTCAAAATCACCCAGTTCCAACACTCCTGCCATGGGTTCCACTACAACTTGCTCATATAAAACTGACATCTGCTGAAAAGCAGTAGCCAGGTGCTCCCTGTTAGCAAAGCAGAAGAGGAAAAGTGTAAACTTTTATGGTAAAAAAACTATTCCATATGAACCATATGAAAGATTTATCCAAGGACAGACTAGCATGAAAAGCTAGTAGTTTCTTGTAGTTTCCACACTGAAAACTGATATGAAAATCTCTCTTCAAAGAGAAATTATTTTTTTAGAGGCAGAAAGTCATATCACATGATGGATTTTTAAAGTTCCCTTCCATTCCCTCCATCAGACATAATATCTTAACAAGACAGGAAAAATTAAGGAATTTTTTAATCCCAGCTTTCATAACCATTTCCCCTTAGGAAGAAATAATAAAGGTTGTGTTTGTCTCATGTGCTTGAAATCAACAGTACATGACTAATACATACTTGCTTAATGAAAAAAACACCCACTAGAATGACTGAGCTCAAGAATGAATAATCCATGGGAGCTGTTTAGAGCTGGGAGAATACATAAATACTGAATTTGATGAATATTCTTTCAATGTTCTAAAGAAATCTGTTTCTACTGCATTTAAACCTGCTTTTACTAATTATAAACATTGCACTAGGATGAAAAAATCTTGGTTTTGCGGACTTGACGCTCCCTTCTGAATTATATTACGATCATTACTCTTTATGCACTAGCGCCCCAAGCCTGTAGCCTGGATGCACGCCCACTGACAGGCACTGTACCGACCGCCCGAGCCCTCCGGTCTGAGAGATAGCTTTGCTGGACAGTGACGGGAGAGGACCGCGACTAACACCGCGGTGGTCTAAGAGAGGCTCCAAACACGTTTATCCCCCCTTTACTGTTTCCATGGGCACGAATCCCCGTGGACAGTTCGGAGGCGGATACAGGCAGGCGACGGCCCTCCTAAGGGTGAGCTGCCAGGCTGTGCTGCTAAGGCACTGCCGGGCACAGCCCTGCCTGCGGTCCCTGGCGGCGTGGGACGACATTCCCGCCGGGAGACAAAGGGCACGGTCCCCTCCCGCCGCAGCCGCCCTCCTTCCCCGCGCCGCCGCCCCCGGCCTTGCGCAACACGGCGCTGCCCGCTTCCTCTCCGGCGCTGCCGGGGGGCCGCCCCGATCGCTCGCTATCAGCATTTCCCTGCCGCTCGGGAGGCGGCGGCAGGCTGTGCCCGGGGCCCGAGAGGGGGGAGTTGAGCATCGGCGGCGGGGCTGGGGCCATCGAGCCCGCCGCCGCCTCCCGGGCCGCCCGCACGGCTCTGAGCATCCGCCTCGTCCTCCCCCCGCGCAGCCTCCGCCGGGGGAGCCGGCGGGGGCCGTACGTGCCGGGCCGGGAGCGAGGGGAGGATCTGCGGCTCGCTGCAGCAGCGAGCGCCGGCCCCGCCGCGCCGCCAGGGACCCGGTGCGGGTGGCGCCGCCGGCTCTCCGCCTGTGCGGCTGCTGCTGCCGCGGCTGCTGCTGCTGCGAGGCGATCGCCGCTGCCGGCGGGAGGGGCAGGGATGTGAGCGGCAGCGCCCGGGTCGGCTTGGCCCCCCCGCCCTTTTTTTTTTCTTTTTCCTTTTTTTTTCTTCCTCTCGCTTCCAAAAAAAGACCAAACCAGCCAACCAACCCCAAAAAACCCAGAGGGCGTGGGGGGGGGAGGGTGGGGGGGATCCCGTGTCGTCGCCGCCACCCTTCGCTGGATCCATTGTGAGGAAATTGCCATTCGCCGGCAGCGGCGGCACATCTGGGCGGGCACATCTGGGCATAGATCACCGGCTCCCGCCGCCTTCCACCTACGTCCTCCGAGTCGGCTTAACGGATCCCTCCGGGCCGCCGGGGAGGCTCCTGCTCGCCAGCCCCGGAGTCTTTCTTTCGGGCTGAACCTTGAAAAAAAAAAAAAAACTGGCAGCACGGGGGGTGGGGTGGGGTGGAAATAAAGGCTGCTATTTTTTCCCCTGGGATTTATTTCATGGGGATGTGTTCAAGACAAGAGAGGATTCAGAAGGATATTGACGTTGTGATCCAAAAGTGCAAGGCGGAGAAGGACTGCCTGTTTGCAGGTGAGTTTCTCCCCGGGCGTCAGGTTGGCGACGCGGAGGCTCCCGGCGCCGCCGCCGCCTTGCCCGCCCCGCACCGCGCTCCCGCCGCGCCGTGCCCGTGCCCTTCGACTCCGCTCCGGCCGCGGGGGCCGCGCTCGGACCCCGGCTCCCTACCCTCCTTCCGAGGGCATGTGAGGGCAGATGAGAACAGCCACCAGCCGGGAAAGGGGCGCGCGGGCTGGGGGCGGCATCCCCAGCCAGGGAGCGTGGCGGTGGCCTCGGGCAGACCCGGCCGTGTGGGGGGAAACCCGAGGTCCCGGCCTCCGGCGCATCCCGCGGCCGAGCGCGGCGAAGGGGCTTTCCGCTGTTTTCCGGGCTCTGCCGCCCTCGGCGCCTGCCTCCATCTCCGGCCGCAGGGCCGGTAGCACAGCCTGCGGGTAACGGGCCCCTTCCCGTGCAAGCAGCCTCCGCCGCCCTCCCCCGGCGATCCGCGGCGCCCCGGCGGTGCCGGAGCGGGGCCGGCCGGGATGGGCCGCCGCAGGAGTCGGCTACCTGTTGCCGTGTGTGACAATGGAATTCCCTGCTGTTGCCATAGCACCGGGCACTTGTTGCGAGGGGCTGGGGGCGAGGTGCTGCATTTCTTCTGGTTCACCTCTGCTCCCCCCAGCCACCCCCGTGTCGGGAGCTGAATGCTGGTCTATAAAACCTCGCTAGTTTAGCCAAAATAAAGACAAGTTGTAATAAAGCAGCTCTTTGTCTTTCAGATTTCAGGTACTCAGACTCCACCTTCACCTTCACCTACATTGGAGACTCGAAAAGGTACCTTTTTTTTTTTTTTTTTCCCCCTGGTAATGACTGCCTTCATTTCCTTCTGGCAGTGAAGTGCAAAGGTTGAATAACGTGGCAGGCTTTTTTATTTCCTTATCTTTTGCAAGGAAGGTGATTAAATTATCTGCCTTAGTACAAACATAAACTGAGAAAAAAGCGTGAAGGGAGTTGATTAGAAAGGTGATCTTAGTAGTCAGTCTTGTTCCTCAGTGTTCCCCTGTGAAGCTTCAGTGTCTTATTTTTTTTAAATTTGTGTAGACACAAAATTTCTGCCGCATGTAAAATTAACAGACACATAGCAAAGGCATCAACCTATGATATAAAGTTAACTCATGTTAAAAACTAGGAAAGGTTAAGTTTGTCATAACATGTAGGCCAAATTTCATATCAGCACCCTACTTTCTTGCATGAGAGCCATATTTGGTCCCATGGCAGATGCAAGGCTGTCTGCAGTTGACCAAATTAAATTCTGGAGGCATTAAATGAAATGTCAGTCTAACTTAAAAGGCTAAAAAAATGTTTTATTGAATGTTAGTTGAAATACTATTTCTAAGTGGTTCCAAGCTGTTGGTTATAAATGGAATTGTGCGTGCATGCATTTTTAAAATATATTTAGGCATTTGTTGTGTTTGTTTTCAAAAGGAAAAATACATAAAATCTTGAACACATCTTTTTCCTTTCCCTGACGGTTAGTTATCTTTATTTAATAAGATGATAACAGTAAATGCTATGTTGCTCTCTTTTAGTTGATGATTTTTTATTTTTTTTTTTTAAATTAGACTTGGCAAGAAGTTTTGGGTCATTTTTTGGTTCCTTTTTTTTTTTTTTTTTTTTAAATTTAGTTTGTCTGGTATCTTTGTCAATTATTTTTCTTTCCCAGGATACATCATGTTAACGTATTGTATCCTTTTTTTACTTGCAAGTGAACCTGTCAGTGCAGGCAGCACTCCCACATCTATCAGTGCAGCCCCTGGGCATGCTTTGAGATCTGGCTGTAGGACCAGGCTCCCAGATGGTCCCTAGGCTCCAGGATGGCTCAGAAAAATGTTTTCCCACCTCACTATCCCCCCTCTTCATACTAAAGGAGGACTACTTCTATGATTTTCAGTGAATTCATATTGTTCACCCAATTGCTGAGAATTAATGTATATTTAGGTTGCTTGTAGTATATGCTTTTTTTTAGCATTTTAATCCATATTTTGTTTTGGTGTTGTTTTAAAAGACAATTTCAAAAGGATTATACAGTAAAAACTGTCTAACAGAGATACTATTTATCCTAAAAGTAAAATTATTGAATTTGCAAGTTACTTTGTACTGTTCCCTAAACCAAATATCACAGCAAGAAACCAGGAAGTGAAACCTGTCTATTGTTTACATTTTCTGAGCTGAATAAAGTAGAAAGCCTAAGGGCACAACTGATGGAAAACAAACTGGTTTATCAATGTTGAAACAAAGTGTTGTCACTTGTTCAGTGAGAGACGGAAGAGTGCCTTCCATCCCACAGCCTTGAATTTTAATCAGGGTCAGCATGTGCTTAGGAAATTTTTGACTGAAACCAGTCTCAGGACCTTGACAATTTAAACACAATTGAGAAACAATGATTATGCTTACAAAAAATGGTGAAAGTGTGTTGTTACTTAGAGCACACCCAAATTTCACTTTATTTTGCACATTTTAAGGATGTCTGAAAAGCATCCTTTGAGATAAGGCCTTCATGGTCTCTGCATTCTTTGTTCATTAGTATTGTGATTTAGAAAGATGTTTTTCAATATTCTTGGTGTTACAGTGGTGTACTGAGTGGCAGGTTTACAGCAGTAAGCTCTCATTTGATGTACATAAAATGAAAACCCTAAACCTTGACTATTCATGCCAAACTTCAGCTTCTTACATCAAAGATGAGTTAGTGGTTTCCTCTTGGAGAAGATGCTGGTGGAACAGCAGCTATACTGCATGTATGCAGCATTTAGGCAAGTCTTCAGTAGAGGGTCAACAGCAGTGATTTGTACATGGTCACAGTTTAGGAGAGCATGAGGTCATCCCGGGACCTTTATTTTGGCCTTTAAAGGCTATGATTTTTTTCTTGCTGCCACTGCTGCAGCTGTGGACTTCCTGAGTAGGAACACCATCTTTTGACTATTGCACTCATGAATTGTCCCTAAATAAAAAAATCTCTCTTATATCCTGGCCATGGACTCATCAGCCAATGGGCCTTATCCAGGTACTTGAGACACTCAGCCTGATGACTTTTTTCAACCCTCAGGAACACAGGGTAGTGGAGTAAAGGGCAAAGGGGTAGATGTTCGCTGAGTGGATGTTCAAATGGAGAAGAGATTTAGATTAGAAATGGTGTCTAAGGAAGACTATAGTACTTCAGTACTCATGAGCTATGCCTTACATGAAGTATTTTTCGTGCTTTGTTTCCTTGAGATGTTTCTTTAGGTCAGTGTGTAATATGGCCTTGGTTTAGCCATAGTGGTTATATGGAAGAGCAGAAGCCCTTGAAAGAAGGCAGTCTATTTGAAAAGCAGGATTCTTTGTAAGCCTTGTATAAAGGCAAGTGACAATGACTAGCAAGTTAAACATCTCTTGGAGTTTTCCTCAGTGTACTATAGTTGCCTTTAGTACCCATTAAGTCCATTTATCAGTTATCTAAATTTATAAACTCAGAGCTAGGTTCTCAGTAAATCAAGGTAAGTCCATGGAAGTGTTGCCAGTATTATTTCAGTTATTATGAGGATCTAAAGTTTGTTACCTGTGTAAGATTTTTCTACTTGGAACCAGCTTCTCAGATGATATCTCATTTTTCCCCTGTTGCTTGGATTGATTGCACAGCCACTTCCTGCACTAATAGTATTGAAATATTAGGCAGTACATAACCATGCTTCAGATCCACCCAAATAGATAGGCTTGATCCAAGGGACATTTATTTTCGCTTCTGTGGAGTTAATTTGTAATCCCACAGCAAAGTAGTAGTAGTTCACTTAAATTCTTTTAGATTGTATTTCATGTCTCCTTTTTTTGAATTTATTTTAGTGCATTGTATTCATACTTCCAAATTATTAGAGCTATTTGACACTGCAAAGATGTGACCTGGTTTGGGAAGGTTGTAGTTAGCAATTTATTAGTGAAAGCATGTCTTCTTGCATAATATGGGCACTAAATAGAGGGCAGATTGTTTATTAATGTAATAATTTTTAATTTCACTGTCAGAAAGCAATAAGTGGATTGATTTCTTGTAAAGTGAGGTGTTCAGTCAGGTGCTGTGACTGTGCAAGATTTACTCTTCTTTAACTACATAAGGCTTAATATCAGAAATGCTTTTTTATGCTTTTTACTGCAGGTTCTAAAGTTTGTATTGAATTATATTAAATGCTGAGTTCTCCTTTTTAAAAGAATATCTAGTTTCCTTTTTCCGTTTTTCTGCCCTTCTATGAAATACTGCTCCTCCAAAAACTCTGCAGACTGAACAGAACTGCTGATCTGCTTATCTTTCAAATAAAAATGTGTGATGCCCTGGAGTTGTTTTCACTTTATATGCCATTTGTCATGCTTTACATAGAAGCAATGCTTGGTTGTCCAGAAAAAAAGATGTTTTCCCTTTTTAGTGTTTTTCTTACTCTGCTTATTTTTTTTTTCTCTGAGGCTAAACAAGGACATCATATGAGCCCTGAAATCCCTTTTCATTCAAATACGTTCTTAACTCTCATTGGGAAGGAAGGACAATGACAATAAGGCTGTGTGTGAGAACAGATCTAATACCGCAGCATATTGCAAAGAAGCTAACACCTGAACACACAGATTAATTTTGTCAGTAAAGTTCCCATCTCCTATTCCCACAGTGGACTTTTGTTCTGCTTTCCGTACTTTAGCACAATGATTATAACAATAGGAGTTCTGAAGAAGCAAGGAAATTAGGTCTGAAGTATTTGTTTATTTTTACTTAAAATAATGACTGGTTATTATCTTACACTTTGTTTTGATTTTGAGTGTTTGGCATTTTGTGTTTTATTCAGGAGGTTATTGTAGAGCAGAAATTCTTATGTAAACTGATGAATTAATTCCTACCTCACTGTAGCAGTAAAATATTTCACAGATAGGGAGCTGTGCCACTGAAAGAGTGTCTAAATTGCTTATAACTTTCTATAGCTAGAGATGAAAACGACTTATCTGAAGTTCTAGTACATTATGTCCACCAGGTGTTTGAACCACTTGACGATAAATAGATACAGATAACCTTTTTTTTCCCTTTAGTGATTGCTCTCTTACTGCTTACACAAATTTATAAAACTGCCTACGTGAAAGATTCCATTTGGTGAATAATTTTGAAATTTTGGTGTAATTCTGATAATACTGAAGTCTTCACTACAAAAAGCTGTGAAGAAAAATGTTTTTTTGGGATAATTGATAGGTGTTTTAATCTTAAAATTGATGTTCAATTTAAGTAAACTGTAGGAAAGAGGGAGAAAACTGAAAAACAGTTTTTAAACTGAAACATAAAATCGTGTCCATCAGAAAATATAAAAACACTTCTCTGAATTTTTTGTTTCTTTCATTTACAAAATCATCTAGTTTAAGACCAGCATTTTTTTTATTGGTTAGTTTTCACCCAGGTCCTCTGTTAGGTTCTGCATGGCAGTGTGTTTGCTGGCTGTGCAGGAATTGGGAAGAGAAGGTTTGACTGTTCCTTTTGCAAGCAGTGGTGGCTTACATGAAATGATGAAAGTGTCTGTGAAAAGTATGACTTAAAAGATGAGAACACTTTTTTTGAGATCCATTGCTCTGAATGGTTTTAGTTTAGATGGAATCAGTCTTATGCAGGGCCTAGGAAGGGCTGGTGCAAGTACAGTTCATCTCCTGTTGCTGATGGCTGCGTATAACTTTGTGTTCAAGTTATTAAAAAGGTAATTACATTCGTGAAATCTACTTCTATTACAGTAAGAGGGGGTGAAATCTAGATGTGCGGCTTGTACCTAGCTGTCTGGTTATTGCTA